CCAATCGCGAACGCCGGGCGAGCCTCACGGCCCATTCACACCGCAAACACGTGTACAATTCACCCGAACAGGCGTTCACCGACCTAGTTAGTTAGTTAGTTAGGCACACATCACTCAGGAGAGAGGGACGTCAGTATTCCCCTCCGAGTTCGAAGGCATGTCTCAACCGAGTAGCTTTCTCAAAGTCCGTAAGGCTAGGGTTGACATTACCCTGGGAGGCTTATTACCCCCGAGTTTCCAACCAGATCCAACTTTTTAATGCCCGGGCAATATGAAGGTACGAAAGTATTCGTGCCGGGGAGTGGAGAGTCATTAGGATCGTCCCATCCCTACCTAAATAGTAATCTATGGAGTTGGACGTTGTGGTAACTGATGCTTCTTCTCCGAAAAATGAGTACCAGCTCACTCTTGTCTTCACCCACAGACCGAGTCTGTACAAATGAGGAATTCGTTGTCGTATCGTCATCGCCGAGAGAAAGCTAAAATGCCTACTTCAACCCCCTATCAGTACCTGCCTACGTCCCGATTAGCTCAGGAACACCCCCTTCTCTGTTGTCCCCTTTCAATCTACCACCTCCCGTCCCTAAGAATAAGGAGGGAGCACCGGTGCTCCAATAAGGTACATTGGGAGGCCTTGCTAGCCGACGTCTAGGAGAGACGTGGACGGGTTCGCACGATCTCATCCCCCGGGTGCTACGATAAACCATAAATGAATTCATCGCCATTGAATTTAATCTCACTACAGCTTGGGTATGATTTTAAAATAGTGAAAGACGAGTAGACTAGATCGCGACTTCTAACATAACAGTTCCCCCAATACTTCGACCACTCCCCACTCATAGAAAATACAAGGAACGCGACGCAAATGGTGCCCCACAGGACTTCATCGAAATTCCCTCTGAGAGGACACATATGAGTTCCATCAGGGAACACCACCGCGTTCTGGGTTTCTTATAAAACGCACTCTCACCCTAGGATTGATGTTCTCTCTCTCTCTCTCTCTCTCTCTCTCTCTCTCTCTCTCTCTCTCTCCGACGTAGGACGGAACGTTGTAGCGTCTGCCAAGCACTCCATGACCCATCGCTAATGTGTTCCAGGGCCATGGTTTTAGTGGCACGTACCCGTTTGGTCGAAGCCTGATTTAGCAGTGCCATGCTTTACGTCTGGTGCTTCATCCACATGGATTGCCTTCCGAAATACGTTGATTACAGGTTTCGTTTGGCCGATATCTCGCAAAGTGATGGCCACCATCCTTCCGAGATTCGGTGTGCCAGTATACGCCCTGCTAAATGGTATTGCATCCGGGCCCCGCTGCTCCAAGCTAAAAAGTGACACGAATAGGACTCCGAAAGTGTTCCTACATGGTCCCCCCATCCCTCCGGCCCGAACGATCGATCCTGTCGTCTAGTTGCTCGTCTTCCTCCCTGAATGGCCCACACACGTGTCCTGTTCAAGTTGGTATGACCTCACGCCCTTAGCTGCTGATTCCAGTGTCCAGCTGTGTTGTCGAGTGTAGCCTCCCGGTCCCAACGGTGATGTGTCCAATGACTCCCTCCGTCCGGATTCGACAGGTCCTGCACCTCGACCCCCTTCTAAATCAGGGACTGAGGGGGGTTATTTTGGCTGGGTGTTTGGGTCCAAACTCCCCCATCTCCCCCCTTCACGGACGGTCTTCGTGTCCCGAGTTCGTGGCAATCACATGTCCGCCTGACAGGACATTATTATCTAGTATCCCACTAATTTTATCCATGTTCACCGACCTAACTTAGACGTGATTTCGTGACTCATATTAAAGGGTCTCTAGGCGTCATCTCATCGGTAGGCCCCTTACCCTAACTATTGTCATCACGTTCCCCCTTGTACTCCCCGGAGCCACGCTCCTAAGGTTCAGTGACAGCGCGTTTTGGGACCATCCTCGAAACCAATGTTTCTCTGTCGAATGCCGATTTCAATGGTGTCTCTTTGATCGATTCGGCGCCTGATGATCCCTATGATCGTCGAGAGGGAGGCCCTTTTCCATCGTCCTGCTATCCCGTGGATAGAAGACAATTTTATCGAGATCTTCTCGATAGTATTCCATCGCGGTCCACTGAATGGCGTCTGGTAGAGAAAATTTCGCCCTGATCGTCGCCTGGTCCATTGCGATACGTTCCTGCAAGGCGCGAGATAATGACGCAGTTAGCTCAAATTCAAATAGTGTTTGTTCTTGGGGACCCGTATAGAAGTGCTTTATGGTGCGTCCCGCGTGCCGCTCCAGATAACAGAGCGCGGTCCGGTTCTCGGTTCTACCGCGCAAAATTTCAATTTGGGGCGGAAGAGAGACGACGCAAAAATGCGTCGTAACAATATATCAGTGGCCTGTGCCCATAGACCACTGATGGGCAATGGCGTGCGGGGAAATGTGTGAGTGAGAGCGCGTATCTATCACTCACTTCATACACAAATATGGCGTGACGTTTCCTGCCTCACATCCTCTCCACAGGAGCCCGCGGCTGCCTTCCGGTTGCCCGTACGGGCATGGTTGCCCATCACTGCCATAGCATAGAAATATTTCTGTGGCTGTGTCCAGCTATGCTGCGACTGAACCCATGAACCTAGGAATTAGAAAGCGGAGAGCAAGGTCCCGTTCCTAGGTCCATGACTGGATGGTGTTGCGTGGGCCCTCAGGGAATCCTGAGTCTCAAAGTAATTAAAGTTCGTAACACGTTAGTTTGATAGATAATTTTGAATAAAAAGGAAATTGTAATAATAATAATAAAGAACAATAAAGATTTAAATTAAAACTTGGAAAACTATATTTAAACTATTTAAATAAACGATTTATAACTAATTTTAAAGGAAAACAAATTTAATTGATAAAGAAATTTTTATACGTCCTTTCTATTACAACGTTGTCGGTGGAATGTTACGTCTTTTCATTTCCCTTCGTATATCATTTTGTTTAATTACAAAATGTTCTTAGTTACTACTGACCAATCTTATAATTATTAATTAGTAAGATTAAACCTGATTCGTTGATGTGTTTCTTCCCGGTTATTGATAACGAGCGATTTACATATTTGCAATGATTCTGAGCGTTAGGATAGGAGGCAAAGGCAACTGGCAAATGTTTAAACATTCGTTTCTAAGTGAATATTGATTATTTTATAATCTTGAAATCCATTTATTAAAAGGATCTCTAACAGATTTCACACTTCTTCAAATCAGTGTCAACTTCACCTTTACCCTCCTTTCCTATTACATGTGTTATTCGATTCAAACTTCGCGCCTGTAAAGCTTATGACATACACCGCTACGTGACATGAGCGGGGACCGCAACAATGGAAAGACTGTAGTGCCCTCGCTTCGTGGCAAAGTTCGAAAGTACACTTTGTTTCTTTAACGGATCACCCCCACCACGGGAGTTTCCGGACCTGTGTACTGTGTATACTACCGTGCAGTGATGCCAGGACTTGGGATTTTTCCCACGCATGCGCACTACCTAATCCTCAGTAACGTATATACTTCACTCAAATATGGGGTATCGTTAGACTCCCGTGACAATTGAAATACGGTAGAAATTACAGGAAGAGGACATTTTTAAAAGAAATAACATATTTACATGGAAATAAATGAATATATATTTTTTTATTATTTTGTACATCTGCAGCCGATTTATTACATGAATACAAACATTTGTTGCGAGAGTAAGAAAAACTGCAGAAAACCTTACTAGTATTCAAACAAGAACATTATATATAAAACATATAGTCGTGCTTTCATCAATTAATATTGAAAATTTCTGAATTTTTAATTCTGTAATAAGCTTATCGCTTTCGCGTTTGCCTATTACATTTTTTATTATCTGCGTACATTTAGTTCGTGACAATTTTAGATCCTTAACCACCTGCGGATCTGAACAGGTTTCCTTTAATAAAGGGACCATGTGATTAATTGTTTGAAAAGCTATATTGTGCTCCGCGTAAAACGCAGCTAACTTTATTTCGGCTGTTTTGACTTTATTAACATGGTCCAAATCAGAATTACTATCAACTTTTGGTAATAAAACAGATGGTGTGATATCACAGCTTTTGCTTGTATTTTTAATATGTAATTGAGTCCGCGAATGTCTAATAAGTTCTGATTTTCCGCATGCCAAGACTTTATTGCAAGCCGTGCAGAAAGCTTTGTTATTATTATCATCAGATTTTAACCAGTCTTTGAAAATATTATTCTTTAGCCAAGATAATTGGAATACTTTCCCTTTGTTACTTCTCTTCTTATCCGCCAATCCACTCGAACTAGGCTGCTGGTAATCCATCTTCTGGTTTCTGTCACTGTAATACACTAATATTGCACTACAATTCAATATATTATATAACATTACGCGACTCACCTTCACTTTAACGAAAAACGCGGGAAACGACTGGGAAGGGCCCCTTACGCGTACCTACTGTTGCACATAGATACGTCCATGGAAACAACCGCCGTCGAGCTGTGACGTCAGCATGCGCATGCGCACAAAGGCTCTTACGTGGGAGAAAATCCCACGTCCTGGCATCACTGCTACCGTGGTCCCTACTCTTTGCCTAGGTTTTATAATCCCAAGTGGATTCAAAAGTGAATTTGCAGATTTAAGTTCTGCTTTAAAACGATACAACACAAATGTCTCATTCAGCTTATGATTTGAATAGTACAAAATAACAGTTGATTTTCATCGTAGATCGTTCAATCGTACAAATAAGAGTTTACTTTTATGTAATATATTTTCGTTATTTTGTTATTTTTTGTGATTTTGATAATATTCCATGAAAAATAAATGAAATGTTAGTGTATTTTGTATAACAATTACTATTAATTATTTTGTTGCATTTAAAACATTTGACATAGTATAATGATTATAAATATAATTATTGTGTTTATATTTTTCTAGAAAATTGTAATTAATAAAATATAAAATATATGCAATTTACACGTAGCGATTGTCAACGTGTCCATCTGCACCAATGTGAACACTGCTTCACAATGTTTCGAAGAAGCTTTGCCTGTATTATGTCAATTTAATAAAACCTAATTTTTAAGCGATAACTAAATATATTATAAAACATGCATTCACACGTGCTACCGAATAAGGTATAATGCTATTGTAAATAAAATCAATTTAATTATAGATATAGTACCAAAGGGTATGTAAGCTATGCTTATTGAAATATAACCTCCAAAGATGACAATTAATTTGAAAAAATACAAGTTTATATACATAAAATTAATTACATGATACTTAAGAATCAATGTGTTTGAATAAGAAGTGATCAATTATTTGTTACACGTTTACAGTACTCTATTTGTTAAAACGAAATGAATGTTTTTCATTTTTAGAGTGAGGAGGAGATGACTGTGGAAGAAAAATTGAGGTAAGCAATTACTATATTGTAACTTTTCAAAAAATTATGTACTGAATATCCTGACAGAAATTTCATTTAACATATTGAGTCACAGGTAAAAGTAAATAATTTATACATTGCGTGCATATATTGATTGCTTTTAATATTATAATTTGTATTTATTTCTATATATTACAACATCTAAATTTCAGGGTACAACATATAAAAATGCATGAACAACATCAGGGTCATGAGGCGATGCATGCAGAAATGCTAATCATCTTATTAGTAACATTATTAATAGTGCAGATTGTACTAGTTGAATGGAAAAAAAGTCATTATAGATCGTATCAAGTAAGTTGACATTTATGTTTATCAACCATTGTTTGAGAATTCAAGAAAATGTATAATAAAAAATCGACTGTTTTTTCTCAAAAAATGGGAAATACTTCTGGATGCTGTAAATTCAAGATTATATTGTTTTACACATATAAGAAATATAATAATATCCTTTTAGTTTGTTACTTTAATTGCTATGTGGATTATACCATTCGGATTAAGTTTAAAAAATCACTGGTGGAGGTTTATATTTCTGTGGTTGGTATCCTCTTGTATAACAGGACTGGTAGTAAGAAAGGCTATACAGAAGCCTATTACAGGCACAACACCAAGGTATGTTATGATGTTTCTTAAATACTACATATTCTAAGGTACTTAGTAATTAAATTGTCTTTATTACAGGCTGGTATACAAATGGTTTCTTTTTATTTATCAACTCAGTTATGTGTTGGGTATACTAAGTTATATTATCATGCTAGCAACATTTTTCGGTTTAAATATAGTATTTGGAGTGAAGCCACAAGAATGGATGGATTGTGGTATACTTTTGTTATTTTATGGTCTCTATTTTGGAGTGTTAGGAAGAGACATTGCAGAGATATGTGCAGATAAAATGGCTTCACATATTGGAGTATGTACAAAAACAATAAAATATTATGTTTGTAATCAAAGGAGAATCCCTTATATTAAATAATTTACAGTATTATGTGCCAGGCCAAATGCCTACAAGGACTTTAGAACCAGGTGTGTGTGCTGTATGTGGAAATAGACTTTTAGTATCAGAAAATGAACCTGGTGTTATAGAAAACACATACAAGCTCAGTTGTGAACATGTCTTTCACGAGTTTTGTATTAGGGGTTGGTGCATTGTGGGAAAAAAACAAACATGTCCTTATTGTAAAGAAAAAGTTGATCTGAAGAAAATGTTCTGCAATCCGTATCCTTTTCTCAATGTTGTATCTTTCCTTAACAGTTTGACTACTGAGCAGTGCTGCTCAGTTTCATGTCAAAAAGTGTCAGCCTATAACTCCAGTAGACACATCTGATAATTTATGCTTAGAACTTACTGCAGTGGAAACAGGATCACAATCACGTTTATTGACACTTTTCGATATTCAAAGTATAAGAATTAATGAAGTAATAAAAATTTCTTTATACAATCCTTAATGGAATATAAAGATGGGAACGGCCTCACGTTTTATACGGCCAGTTACTAGACTGGATCAGGTGGTTAGTTGCCTGGCAACCATTAATTTTATTTCTTGTTCAAGGTATCAATTGGGGCCTAGGCCTCGAGTAAGTAAAGTTCTATTATGATGAATCCAGTTGCACTTAGGACACCATTTGTGTTTCCGTAAAATTAATGACTTATTCATTTAAACTACGGTACGTTTTTTATATTTTTCTACACGGAGTTGTTACTACATTTGTTATAACAATGAATCGTGTTAGAGATGTACAATTCCAGTCCAAGTTGTGATTGAAATTTTAATTAAATTTGATAGCAATGTTGCATTCACGTCGCAACATGTATAGAAAAATGTTTTTTTATATATTCTGAATGTTTCCTAACAGAGACAATGAAAAGATCATGAGATACTATTTACTCTGTGCTTCGACAGACTCTCGATTTATCAAATACTTAATAATAATTCTTCCAGAAATATACTTTTTAATTGTCTCTATGACAATTACCCTATGCACCTTTGGTTGTTACCGTGTGCAATTATCTAATTCTTTGAAATGACTATAATGTCGACTGTAATTTATTTTCATCTAATATCCATTTTTAAATTAATTTAATAAAATGTATTATTAGTGTTGGTTGTCCGAATGATCTCAAATTAAAAATTTACATACAAATATGTAATGATTTCATCTTTAACTCTCGGAAGGCGGACGCTTTAGATGTGTTTTGGAACGAATTTCTTCAAAAAATGCAGGTTTTCCTATAAAATGTTAGTTTAAACATCTGTACGCTTTAGTTTCTGTAAGCCGGAATGATGCATGAAGTTTCACAAATCCTAAGTCCAAAGTGAACCCAGACACGACCGTCCGAGGGTGAATATCATGAAAAAAAGTGTTTACAATACAATAAAATTAAGTAATCGAATTATATTTTGATATTAACTCAAAAGTTAAATTTTCAAAAATATTTAATTCGTATAACCGATATTAAAACATTTCAATTTATTGTACATAGAATTATTTGTAATTGATGTGAGAATGATAGGGAACTAATGTACTATTTCTTTTACCATTCCACTTCTTCTACAAAAGCTAGTCATGCTATGTGTACATTTTGCTTAATTAAATTACGGTTTTACATTATATACTTGTTGACAATAGTATTTACTAACTGTGTAAGCACTCATTGTATTACTTTGGTGTTCATTTCAAGCATATAAACTTGTTATATACAATAGAATGGAGAGTTGGTTTTAACCATCATGGTTAGAGAAACTCCATTATACCAATAAAAGAAAGATCTGTCTACAGAAGGAATTATTCTCACGCATAGGGAATTCCAAATATAGTATTTTTGGAATATAAAGTGGCACATGATATTTAGTATTGAAATTGTGATATTTCTATTTAAAAGTATTACTTTACATATTTACAGATTGTATTACAGATATTGTCAACTTTTTTCCAATTTAATTTTTGTCAGAAACATAATTCTGATGTTACTTTAAAGCCATGGAATGGATAGGGAGAAACACAAGGGACATTGGAATAGCATATTTTAATTCCATTGTGCCATGTATTATGGGCATATTGAAATTTATATTAGACATTTTGAACACATGGTACTTTGTGATTAATCTCTGCTTTTATACCAGCAAGCTAGGAAACTAAAATCTGTGCGTAATGTTGTCAGTTATACATAATATCAAAATATTTATAGAACCATGTGTACAGGTAACGTGCTATTGTAAAAAAAATGGGCACATTATGTGAATCATGTAAAAACCAAATTTGAAGATTCAATAGTGTAATGGTAGGAGTTTCACGTTGTTTACAGAGTACAGAAGTCAACGCAGTTCTTTCAGCAATTTATTCTTTAACACGTTCGCTGCAGGTGGCTCTGATCGGAGCTGTAGAGTGATTCCGATTGGTGTCGTCAGCAGCGAACGTGTTAAACGAAGTAAATAGTCAGTGTATGTTGTAAATATTTTAAGGGAAATTAAACAAACTGTAAATTTTAGAGAATCAAACTTTCTACAATAAATTATATACAAAGATGTCAAGTGCATGTAAATTTTATTTCTCGCTAGTACAAAATATAAAATCAAGTGTTCTTAAAAGTTACTAACAATTGCAACTCACTTTTCGGAACACTTTATGTTTGAGCATTATTTAAAAAAATTAATTTTATGAATTTATAGTGTATAACTTAGTGTTTTCCAACGTGGGCCGTACGCTCCACCGAGGGGCAGTTTGAATACTTGGGAGGCAATTAGCAAATACCTTTACTTACCTACATATGTGCTTTTGTTCATTTGAAGCAGAACTTTGTTTATTCTTATGTTAGGGGGTTATCGAGATATTTGAGGCGCTCAGTTGGGCATGGTGCAAAAAAGGTTGAGAAACCCTGGTATAACCAACTAAGCATGGTAAAAGTGTCCCTAAACCAAACTGAACTTGGTACATATGAATCGATCGGTCCCTCAAAAAAAAACCCCTTTTGCCAAGTATCAACGTGGTACCCCTACTATTAGGGTAGTTACAGAGTGAAACGTAATTTACAGTTTAGGACTCATCTCTTTTGTGCTATTGAATAGAAAATAATAAAAAAGAAACCAAGAATATTCTATCCAGTGACGTAAATATCTGAATTTTATTTTAATTTTTGAAAAGATGTATCGTACTTAAAACAAATTGTAAACCTATATTTCCTATTTTACCATATGGGTCAATTCAACGCCAATCGGGTTACTTTTGTATCAGATAGGTATCTGGGATGTTGCTTGAATTGAAGTATATTATAGGCATTGGCGTAAATAGAATTTTTGTCTGGGGGGGGGGGGGGGCAGCTCTCCTGACTTCCCATCAGGCACCTGTATGTATTTTATACCACGTACGTGGGTTGCAGAAAATAAAGTTACACATTTTAAAATAATTATTTACAAATTTATTTAACACCAAAACTAAGAATAGAATGCTATAAACATAATTCTTAAAACTAAAAAAATTTGAGGTTGATTAAAAGCAAAAGTAAGTATATTGTGTGCAGGTACATATAGTTAAAATCTATCATATATAAGCTTCAATTCGCTGGTTTTTTCTGCAAAAATATTTTTTACATTCTCGAACGCTAGTCCCCTCATTGCATCCGGTTCTTCCATTGATGTTACAGGATTATTAGTAGAATATTAAAATTAAAGAGCTTAATTCTAATACAATTTTAATTAATACTTTCATGTAATGAGAATAGTATTGTATTTTTTGTATTTAGTTGCGTTGTGTATTGCATTTCGACCCAAGTATTTATTTTTTATAACACAAGGTTTTAGTAACTGATGAATGTTTTTTTACATATTTGAATAATTTCTGGCCGGGGGGGGCAGGCCCACCCTGGCCCCTACCTAGTTACGCCAATGGTTATAGGCCATGTGAAAATAGAGGCGGTTTATGTGACTATTTCGCTGATTTCTAGATTGTTTAAAAAGTACAGACCTCGGAGTTGGCAATTTTCACCGATTTTCACGAAAATTACCTTCACAAAAGAATTCATATTTCCGCAACTATTAAAGATATACGAATTTGATATTCTTTTCGTTTCAATCGTAAAGGGTCGTTCCTTATAACTGCTTTTTTGTTTCATCAGTAAAGTTACTTTTGCGATGTGAATGACACTTTGAAATTATGGTCGAACCAGGCGGTTGAGATACGCGCGCTTTCCAATCACAGTCGAACGCTCTCCTCCGATAGACTCGGAAAGCCCAATGTCCTATGGACGATATTAATTTAAATTAGTGGTACTTTCAGAATAAGCATTTTTATTATTTTCCCCTGTCCTAATGTTTTTTTCGTACATGGAATATTAGGAAATGCCGGTTTCTAATTTTATTTAAGTATGATACACCTCTCCAAAAAGTTTAAAAAAATTATACGGATATAACAAGTTCACTTGATAATTTAAAAACAAAGTCAGCATGTTTTAATTCTCCGAATTTTTGAAAAACCGATTTTGTAGCCAAAGTTCTGAAAAAATTCACAGATACGTACGCCACTGGATAGAATATTACTAAGGTTTGTTACTATTTGCGATCGAGACTGACTCCCTCGTGTCCTCGCATTCATTCTTTATATCCTATGTTCTCACAGCACACACATACACACACATACATGCTGCCGCCGAATTCGCCTGGTGACAATCGGCTATTGCGTTTAGGGCGGCATCGGTCTTTAATCGACTTTGAAACGCAACATTCGTCGAAGCTGGCGGCTGAACAAAGTCACGCACCAACTCGCTCCTTGGCGACACCTGATCCGATCGCGATGCGCGCGGTTCCTGTTGTCGTCGAGGTAACTCCGAATTAGGTTTTAATACATTTTTTATTTAACTATTACTTACAAATAGGAATACAATTGTACAGAGTGACGATGTAATGTTGAAGTTCAGAAATCGACTGTCTCATCCCCTGTTTGGGACCAGTATTTAAAGGGTTCCGGTGTGGAGGGGGTGGACGTTAGGTTTAAGGAATTTAGAAAAGGATAACCTAGGAAATAGGGATATCATGGGAAGACATCTTAGCGACATTAGGAATTTGGAGAAGGGCTGTGTGGGAAATCAGGATATCGCAAAAAGACATCATGGCGTCCTTCGGAATTCGGGTGAAAGCTGTCTCGGCGAACGGTCGGGTTTTTAAGGAGATCTGTATCGCAGGGTCGGTACATGGAAAAACCATCGGGGTAATGAAGGGTTCGTTGGTGACTACTGCGACACTGTGACCATCGGTCTGACGCGGAATGCGTAGATTTCTTACAGTTCGGTGCATTAATGCGCATAAACATAATTAAATAAGAAATCTATCCTATATTTTATACGGTTATAAATATAATATAAACGTAAAATCTAATTTTAACAAAATCTCTTAAACCTAATATTAAGTAACAGACAGATTTAAAACTATATACATATATCAACCCGGTGTCCACGGCCGCATATTAACCGCTTCCCTGGTTCCACGATACGGAGTTTGTATTAGCTGAAATTCTTCTACATCTTTTACCACGTACCGGTCGTTTCGAAGTATTCGATCAACTTGATACGGCCCCTTAAATTTCGGTACCAATTTTTGCGGAACCCCTGGTGAATTATCGAAATTCCTTATCATAATTTTATCACCTAGTTGATATTCTTTTGTCGCTTTATGTTTGCGATCGTAAATTTTTTTGCTCGCGACTGCATTTTCCGAATGTGTTCGCTCGCTTTTTTACGCACTCCTGGTAATTCGTGAGGCATTCCAATTTGCCCACGGATATCCAACGCATCTCGTATTCCGTCAATTACTTTGT